TCCCACGCGATGTCCTGGGCAACCCCACCTGGGCTCCGGCCCAGGACTGCCTCCCCTCCGGTTGGCCCCACGACCCACTCTTCTGGGTTCCAGTCCTTTAAGACACGGAGAAGCAGAACCTCTGCGTGGGTGGGTGAAGTCCCCTGTGCTCATAGGCTGCCTTTCTTTGAGCCCCCCACCCCTACCCCCCCATCTCTCCCCCTCTCAAAATCACCCTGAGCATGAGGGGCTGGAGGAGGTCAGCAGGCCGCTCGGACGGAGGCATGGGGTGATCTCTGGGCGGGTCAGGGCAGCCAGAAGCTCCCAGTCTGCAGGGCTCGCCTGGAGAGGTGAGGGGGCTGAGGCAACGAGAACTCCCCGGGACAGGCATAATTCAAACCAATAAAGGCAGGAGCTTCAGCAAATGTTAATTGATAGAGGTAGTTGCAAGCAGGTGTATTAAAAAGTGCACCAAATTATAGCCAACCAAAGTGGAGTGGAGTGTCCGACAACTTTGGTGTGGGAAGGAAGGCATATAAAAAATGGGAAGCGTCTGCAGGCAGCTCTTGAGCCGTGAGGGGCAGGGCACCCTCACGTCTGTGTAGCGCTGGGCTGGCCTGCCAGGGCAGGACCCGACAGCGGCTACCTCTGTGGCTGAGCCGGCCCTGGAGGGAGGGATGGCCGCCCAGTGTCCCTGTACCTGTGGGTCACCAGGTCTGCTGGGCTCCAGCCCTCCTCAGCGGAGACAGCACCGCCTCCTCCAGGGGCCTGCCCGTCCTTGTGCAGTTTGCAGCCAGAGAGGAGCGTGCCCCACGGCCCTCGGTGCCCCCCGCCATCCCCAATGCCCACCATGTCTGGCCAGGCTTGGCTCCGAGGCTTCTGCGTGCAGACAAGCCGCTCAGCACAGCACCCCTCCAGAGGCACGCAGCTTCGCTTCCGGCACTCGGGCCTCTCCGTTGGCCGCCCTCCCTCTCCATAAGTGTGCGGCTTACTTCCCGCCCTCCGGCACGTGGCCAGTCAGAACCTTGCTGCATGTGATCCAGAACCGCTCATGTGGGGCTGCGCTGGAGGCGTGGGGGCCAGGGCGCTTTCCTTGCATGCCTTTCGGCGGCTCCTGGCCTTCTGCAGGCAGCCTGCACATGCCCCGAGGAAAACCACGCTGTAGGCTGGGCACGACCGCTGCCACCTGCGAGAGGGTGCTCACTCGGTAGCGCAACCACGGTTCACACTCCCGGGTGCCCGGCCGTGCTGTTTGGGGTGCCCCAAGGCTTAGGTTCACTGAGTTCCTTAGGGACGGATGCCGGGTCTCCTCGGACGCCCAGCTCCGCAACCTCCAACCTCAGAGCCGGCCAGCGAAGATAATGGCACCGACTGCTCTCTAGGCTCAAGAAAGGAGCGTTGGGGGAGGGGGGCATTTGGGGACAGGAAGGGGCGGCCGTGAGACGAGGCATGCTGACGCCTCTTGAGCCCCTTCCCTCCCTGTTGGACACGCTCCAACTGGACCAACCAAAAGCTAATCTGGAGAAAATGGGGGGTGGGGGTGGGCAGATAATTTCCGCTTACCCAGAACTCATGCAAGGCACCCAGTCTGGGGGCTTACAGGCATCCTGTGGGTGGGAGGGGGGCTGCAGCCTCATTTGCCTTATTTATTTGCCTGCTTTATTTGTACTCCACCTTTCTATCAAACGTGCCACTTAAGGCAACTTTCAGAACCAGGTACATGGATTAAAATGCAACAAAAACACAGTCACTGAACAGAGTCCTGTTCAGCCAGCCGCCCACCTGCCAGGTGTGCTTAGAGAGGGAGGGGCACCTCAAGCACCTCGGCCGTGCCTGCCTGCCGCGGAGGCGGGAGGAGGAGCAGCGCTGCCTCCCGAGAGGCTGCCGAGAGCCGAGCCTGGGAGCGGCCACCGAAAGGGCCATTGCCAGACGTGCCTCGAAGGGGACGGCCTCCCCAAGTGTCACTTGGGCCCAGGCTCTCCGACCCGTGGTCATGTCTTTCCACAAGCTTGTGGCTTATTTCTGCCCTCTTACAGAAGCTCTTTCCTCTCCATCTCCTCGGAATGCTTTAACTGGAGCTGGATGCTTCCCAGCTGCTGCTGGCTTTCTGCTGGGGTTCGGTCTAAAAACTGCTCTGGCGACAGTCCGTTCTAGCAGATGGGTTCCTCACGTCCAGGCCTGAATGCTCCCCAGTGCCCAGCAAAGCTGAGCCCCTGCTTCCCGCAGCACCTTCTCCTCCGTGCCTTGAGGCCCCCGCCTTTGCCTGCCCAGCTGGCCCGTTCAGAGAAAGCCACCTGGGTTGACCCGAGACCCTGTCTTCTGCCTAGCAACCTGCACTTATGTTTCAGGGTTAAACTGGCCCGGGACTCTGCCTTGGCCGCCTCGCCCGGTGCTCAGCCGGCTCCCGCTCTGGCACTCTGTGCCCGGGCTCCTCGTGCCCGGCAGCGGCCCCCCTCACAAGCTGGCCTTCTCACGTGGCTGCAGGAGGTCGCCCCAAGGATCGCTGCAAGCAACCCGACTGAAGAGCCCTTTTTAAAAACGGGGTGGGGGGCTGTGGCTGAGCTCCTGCTCTGCCCCAGATTCCAGTAATTAGAAATGCATGCTCATTGTTAGTTGTCCTGCCCACAGCCTGTCGCTCCAGAGATGTTCTGCTCAGAAAAGGCACCGCAGGCGTGTGTTGCTGGAGGGGCAGGGTGCCAGGGGCAGCCCAGGTGAGGCTCACGCCCACAAGGGTGAGTGGTCGGGCCACGTGCTTTGCCGGGCTCCAAGCCCATCGAACGCTGCGCGGAGAACCGTCCATTGCGAGAAAGCGCCTTTTGAACGACAGCTCAGCCCGTGCATGGCGTGGAGGCGCCCACACGCGGACACGGTGGCCCTGGCCCTGCAGCCCAACGTGGCCTCCATGACCAGTGGCTGGGGGTGGGGGGGCTTGGCCTCTCTAGGAAGGAGCCCCCGGGCCTCAACCTCAGGGCCGTCACATCAAAAAACATGCGTTTTTCCACTGATCTGCACGTCTCCCCCGCGAGGAAGTTGCGCCGGGTCTGTATCACAGACACAGCCAGATTCCCACTGTGTGACGTACATACAGCGGTCTGATTCAGCGCCCTTGGAGATAAATGCCAGTATCTGATCTTCTCCAGCGACAGCTTGGGCCTAGACGACATGCAAAGCGCAGCTGCTGGCCCACGATTTCCAAGGGAGCCGGTGGGCGAGCGCCTTGCACGGAGAGCAAGCGTGCGTCTTGGTGCTGCCATAGGGATGCTGAAGCAGCTGATGGCCGTGAGAGCGTACATGGGAAGGCAGGCGGGCGTCTGTCTTCTCTGTTCCATGGAACAATAAGCTGCCCGGGACCCCCCCATTCACCCCCCCAGCTCCTCTTTGGTGTGCGAGCCACATCCCACATCAGTGCCCATCGCTGTTCCAAACCAGAAGATCGGCCTGCGAAGGGACGGGTTTTTCAGAAAGGCACAACTACTTCCCGCCCAGCCTCGGTGCCAACTCTCCATCCCTGCCAGTGCACCCGACAGCAGTATCAGCTCGGCCGCCCCCACCTCCAGGCTGGGCATGGTGCCAAGCTCTTGGTAAGCTGCACCCACGGACGTGGGGGGCAGGCTGCTCTGCGGTCGGCGGCTGGCCCGCCTGCTGGCTCCAGCTCAGAGCTCACTTGGACCACCTCCCTGCAGCCCCCGGATTGGGGCAGAGGGGCCTGTGACTCAGCTCCCCAATCAGCCTTTCTTCCTGAGCATGGAAATCTCCAGGGAAACCCTCAACGTTGCTCTGATGGGGGGAGGGGGAGGCTCTCCTGCAAAGCCCCGCGCTGCCGTCAGCGCTGCAGCATCCTCCGGCCCAAGTCATTCAAAGCGCCCCAAGCCGGAACTGGTTAGCGGAAGTGGCGCTAGCCTCTGGCTCCCCCTGGAGAAACCCCCCCCAGAGGCCCTCCCACCCCACAGGCAGAGCAGTGCTCAACCTGGACACGGGGGAGCCGCCCGAGGGGGCCGCGGGACGGCCTGGCAAACCCCCGAGGCGGACTTTGGTGCACAGCCTGGGGGGGCTGTCCGTCCGTCTGGGGGGGAGGCTGTGCCTGCAGGCACGGGATTCAGAGCGCCGTGGAGAAGACAAGGGCTCCCCCCACCCGGGCCAGCTGGTCAGAGGAGCCGCATGGCAGCACACGAGGCAGAGGCAGGGCAACCCCCTGGGGGGGTCTCCGTGGGCAGCAAGAGGGTCTGGCCCAGCAGCCCACCGCCTGAACCCTCCCTCCTTCCCCAGCAGACTGACAAGCCTTGTGCGCCAGCCTGCCCGTTCCCTCCCCTGGCCCGGCTCCTCTTGGCGCAGCCGGCACCACGCCCGGCCGGCTGCGGGCACAAAGCCGAGAGGGAGGCACCGCCGCCGGAGCCCCCAGATGCCACGTGCCGGGCAGCCTCCCCCCTTGGACACCGGAGGCCCGGAGCGACTCAGTGGGGCAGCCGACACCTCGAGGCTCCGGTTCGGCATCCGGGGAGCGGAGCAGGGCGTGGCACAAGGAGCCGGTGGCCGGCCTGACCATTCCGCCAGCAAGCTCCAGGCAGGCCAGGCGGCTGCGAGGCACCCGGACCTGGGCTGCTTCCCTGCACGAGGGACTCCAGGCTGTGGCCGGCCTGCCCCATGTGCCCCCCTCCCGCTGGGGCTGCTCCTTCAGGCCCTCTCCAGCCTCCTGGCCGTGTCCCAGCAGAGCCCTTGGTGCCATGGCCTTGGCCCCGAGGCCCTTCTCCCTGCCCCCAGCCCAGCCTGCTGAATGAGGGCAAAACGGGGCACGGCACGGACGAGGCCCCGCTCTGCCTGCTGCCCTGCTGCTCCTTCACCCCCCACCCCAATCCAGGCAGCAGCTCTTCTGAACACCAACGCCCCCGATCCCTGTGCCCCGGGCCTTCTTTGTAGCCCAGGGGCCCCAGCAGGCGCCTCGGCTGCCTTCCGCTCGACTGTGGCAGCTTTGCAGGACCCTCTTCTGGACCCGGCAACCGGAAGTCAAGGCTGCGTTCCACACGTTTTGGTGCTGAGAGCCTTTTAATTAATTTGCTTGGTGGAGCACATTTCAGTAGCAGCCTGAGAAGATGGGCGTGTTCCAACCACGATCAGCCACCAAAAGTGACAACTCAGGAATAGGCCATACGCCCGGTGAGGACCCGATCCCTGCGGGGAAAGGCACCCCCCGCGGCCCCGGGAAGCTCGGCTCCCTCCTCCTCCCCGAGACCTCGAGCAGGCAGGAGCTCAGCACAGCGGGCAAGAAGGGCCCCAGCCTGGTGAACGACGGCCCAGGCCCAGCCCAGCCCAGCCCAACCCCTTCCAGCCCAGGAGCAGCATCAGCCCGCCAGCAGCGCAGCACCCAAGGCAGAAGCGTTTCGGGAAGGGCAGCAGACGCCCCAAGAAGCCCCGCCGCTCCCTCCCACAGGCCTGGGCCTCCCAGCTCGGACCGCTGAAGCTCCTCCGCTCCTCCACTGAGCCTGCCAACAGGCTGAGCCCCGCAACCAGCAGCCTGCCCACAACCCAGGCACACCACCCGCAGCGCGAGGACCCCGCCACCAGCGCACCCCATGGTGTCCGGCCACTGCCAGCCCGGTCAGGCCCCCCGGAAGCAGCCCACCAGAGAACAAGGCCCTGGAGGCTGGGGGCTTTGCACCAGCTCTGCGGGGCACCCCACGGGTCCTGCCGCTCCCAGAGGCACTGGGGCCGATTCCCAGCCGCAGACTGGCCCGCTTTGTTCCGGTGCCGAGAGGGTTCGCCTGGGCCTGAGCTGATGCAGACCAGCCTCGCTCCCAGCTCACTGCAGCACACAGGCGTCTTCTTCCCCATCCTGAGCAGCGGCTCTGGGGGCCTGCGGCTCCTCGTCCTGCAGCGGTGGGGGCACCTCCGCGGCCCCCACCAGCGCCTCCCGCAGCTCCAGCAGCAGATCCCGGCCCTCGCTGTGGGGCAAATTGCTCAGGTAATACTGGGGGGCCAGTTCGGCCAACCTGCAGGAAAGAGGGTTTTGCGGGGAGTCTGTAGTGGAAGCATCTGAGCCGCAGGTGCCCGCCACTCCCCAGCCCAAGCGCCACCCAGCCGCAAGCAAGACGGGCGGAGACCCAAAACCCGGAGTCCTGGCCGCCCCTCCCCCCTCCGCTGGCGGCACTCACATCTTTGGCTGGATCTCAGAGACAATGCTCAGGCAGTTATCCTGCGAGATGGTGAACTCGTGGTAAAGCAGCCACGGGGGAGGCCGCGGGGGAGGCCGCCGCAGCCGGTAGCAGCAGCTGGGGGACAGCTGGGCCACATGCTTGTTGGTCAGCAGCAGGTAGTTCCCGGAGCCGTCGATGTCTTGGGCAACCTGTGTGCAGAGGAGAGCACGAGCGCTGGGCTGGGAACACCCCGGGGGCTGTGCGGTTCGACCCACAGAAGTCCCTGCGCGGCTCCCGGGCAGCACATGGCTCCCGCCTCCCACGGAGCCCCGGGAGCAGCGGCCTGCACAGGCGGCAAACCGTGGGCGAGGCACAGCCAGGCCATGCTGAGGCTGGCCAGCCCGCCCCCCCCCGCCCCCCCCCGGCCACAGGGCTCACGGCCACAGGGCTCACGGCCTCTCCCGGCCATGCGCCAGCCGGCACTGCATGGCGCAGCAGGGCAGAGGGGGCGCCAGGACTCTCGGCGTCCGCTCTGCCCTGAGCCTTCTGACCCACCTTGACCAATCGCACCCGTGCGGGCGCCAGCTCCTCCCTTCCCCAGCCAAGCTCCTCGGAGGTAGAGGGGACCAATAAAGGCCCGGGGCCGAGGGCACCCCTTGGGGTGCAGGTAGGCGGCCCCTGGCCCACCAGCAGGCCCAGAGCTGCTCTGCGCCCATACGCAGCGCTGCTCCGGCATCTCCCTGCCGGCCCCCGAGCCCTGGGCCGCCCTTGCCTGCAAACTGTGTGCCAGGCGGGACTCCCGGGGGTGCCACCCTGGCCCGGCCCCCCTACCTTGAGGAAGAAGCCCGAGAGGAGGGCACGCATCAGGCTCAGGGCGTTGCTGTCAGTGCCGAAGGCCGGCGGGGAGACGGGGAGCTCGATGCGCCGCATGACCTCCAGCAGCTCGGCCCGCACGGCCCCAGCCAGCCGCAGCGCAGTCTCGCTCACCGCGTGCTTCCGGCACCAGCTCTCTGGGTCGCTCTCTGGGGAGGGGAGCCAGCCCCGTCAGGGGCGCGCGACCCGAGCACCTGCTGGTTCCCCCACTGCCAGCCCCCCTCCCGCACTCACGCTGCCGGAAGGCGTTGAAGAGGTTGATGAGGGTGAAGTGGTCCCCGGCGGGGTGCAGGAGGCTCCGCTGCCGCGCTGCCACCGCTTCCTCCCGGCGGGCCACGGGGGTCACGGAGCAGGGCCAGGCTGCGGGCGAGGGAGGCGGCTGAGGCCAGGAGCAGAGACGCCGAGGCGGGGCACCCTGGCAGGCCGTGGGCTCCCACCTGGGGACCAGCTGGGCGGCTGGGGCATCCTGCAGGACGGCGCACCCACTGCTGGAGCCGTCGGACCATGGAGGGGGGGCGGTTTGCGCCTGGGGAGGCAGGGACCCGGGAAAGGGAGGCACGCCGGGCCCACGGTGGGACTCAGCCACGTCCCGCTCGGCACTGGCCTGCGCCTTCCCCGGGGCTGGCTGGGGGGCTCCTCTTTGCAGGAGCTGAGCTCCGGGGTGGGGGCAGGCCCCGCAGGCCCCTACCGGTCAGCATGGCGGCCAGCGTGAGCATCTCGTCCACACACTCGAACTCGCAGGACGCCAGCAGGGCCTTGGCCAGCTGGGGCTCCAGCGGGAACTCCGACATGATGATGCCCACCTCGGAGAGGTTCCCGTCGTCGTCCAGGGCAGCCAGATAGTCCAGGTCCTCCAGGGCCTGCATGAGGGACTCCGGGGCTGGACAGAGGGCAGGCGGGAGGGCGTGAGACCCGCGCCGGCCCCTCTGCCCGGGGCCCGGCCCCCGTGCCGACCCGCCGACCCCCGGAGCCCCACGCACCTGGCCGGTCCAGGAAGTCGCACTGGCCCATGTCCGCGATGTCCAGCCTCTTCAGCAGCAGCACGCGCCGGCTGAGCTCCGCCTCCGCGATGGGGGCGGGAGGAAGGGCTGGGAGCCCCGCCTCCCAGGTGGCTTCGGAGTACAGGCGCAGGCAGGATCCTGCGGGCGAGCGGGGCACAGATGCTGAGAGGTGGCGTGGGGCAGGGGCGTCTTGGGGGGGGGCCTTCCTCCAGCCCCAGCGGACTCACCTGGGGGATCCCCGGCAGCCCGGAGCCTCCGTGCCTCTGCCTGCCTCTTGCTGATGGGACGCAGGCCCTGCGACTCGGCCCGGATGCGCGGGTTGTACACCTGCCCAGGGGAGTGCGGCACAGGTGAGAGCAGGAAGCGGGAGGCGCTGGGGGGCACGGGCACAGGCGACCACGCGGGCCGGATGGCCATGCGGGAGGACCCACCAAGGCCTCGGGGCAGCCTTGCGGCCACACGCAACCACAGGGCCGCGGACTGAGGGAGGCGCAGCGTAGCCCTCCGGAGGCTCCTGCAGGGCCCCAACCCTCTGGCCCGAGGTGCAACGGCCGCCTCACCCATGCACCCATCCCAGGCAGAGCTGAGCGCGGTGGGTGGGCAGGGGCACAGCCTCACCAGGCACCAGCGCAGGTCCCCTCCTCAGGCAAGGGCCCCCGCAACGCCCAACCCCGCCCCAACTCACGCTGCGCAGCTGCAGCCCGGCATCCACCACATGCCTGACGCTGCCGGCGGAGAAGGCGGCATCCGCCAGCCAGTGGGTGACGATGATCCTGCGTGGCGGGCCTCTGCCTGGCTGCTCCACGCCGGCTTCGTACACCCTCTGGACGTCTCGCCCCACGCCGGGGTGAAGGGGCAGCACCAGCAGGGGGCCCAGGCCGGGGTCCAACGCCGCCGCCTCCACACGGAGGGCCTCGCAGCAGTCGCTGATCTCCTGGGGGTGGAGGGCCCAGAAAGCCCCGTGAGAGTGCAGGCAGTGGGGGGCACTGCTGCTTGCTCCGAGGAGAGCTGCCACTGCCCCAAGGATGCCCCAAAGACGGCGCAGCCAGAGCTCCCGTTCCGGGGCCCCTCCGGCAACACTGCACTCCCCAGCATGGCCCTCTCCAACACCCCCGAGGAGAATTTCCACGCAGCCTACTAAGGCAGGAGAGAGAGCCCAGGTGGCCCGAGGGCTGAATGCCATTTGGGAAGAGCTCTGAGAACAGCAAGCAAGGCAAAAGACCATCCGTTTTAGGTACTGACGGAGCCCCTGGAGAGGCATTTTGAGCATTCGGAATGGAGAACGCGGCCCAAAAGCCAGGAAACCTCTGAGCCATCAATAGTTGGGGGGGGGGGGGGCTTCCATGACGCCTGCAGGGCTATGGCTGCCCACCAGGGGGCTCTTTGCCACAGCCAGGCTCTTCCCAAGCAGTGGCCAGCATAGCAGAGCGCCCCACACGGCCCGCCTGCCCCTTGCGCAGGGGCTCCCGACACCACCCGCACCCAAAAGGTGGCGGGGCGGCCCCTTTCCTCCCGAGCCCTCCCCCAGAGCCCACCTGCTCGCTGGCCAGGAAGACCATGATGTCCCCGCACTCCCTCTGCTGGTGGAGGGCCAGCGCAGCCTGGCAGGCCGCCGAGACGTGCTTGCCCGGGGCGGGTTCCTGGTACGCCAAGCGCGGGGCCGGTTGGGGCGCCGGCACCCGCACCACAGAGGCGTCCCGGCAGAAGCGGCGCAGTGGCTCCTCTAGCGGCGGCTCCGTCACCACCACCAGGCGCAGCTCCGGGCGCTGGAGCCATGCGTCCTTCAACAGCCCCAGCAGCAAGTCCGTGGGCACTGCGCGCTCCTGGACCTCATCCAGCACCACCACCCCGAACTGCCGCAGCAGTGGGTCCGATGTCATCTCGCGCAGCAGGACCTCGTCTGAGCAAAACCTGCAACCCAGAGGCTTCCTATGGGGCCCACGTGTTGCCGGCCCCCCAAGTCTTTTCCCGCACCACCAGACAGGAGGGCACCCAGAGCTCCCGCAGGGGACCTGGGCAGGCACAGCTGCATGTGGCGGCCACCTCCTGCCTGCCCACCAGACCCGCACGGGGCAGTGGGGGGCAGCAGCAGGCAGGCTGGCGCTCTGGAGCACGCACGAGAGCAGCCTGCAAGCGGGCCCCACCCGGAGCGACCCCTCACAGGACCCAGCCCTCCCCGGGCCAGGGGGAGCCCCTACCTGAGCAGAGTCTCGGAGGTGCAGCAGTCCTCAAACGGGACGCCGTAGCCCACCTCGTGGCCCACGTTGAGGTCCATCTCATCCGCCACGCGCAGGGCCAGGCTGCGGGCGGCCAGGCTGTGGGGCTGCGTGCAGACCACCTGCCCGTGGGCAAACTGCCGCGAGAGGGCGTACTCCGAGCACCACTGGGGCACCTAGCAGAGGGGCAGACAAGGCAGCGCAGGACAGGCTTGGCAGTGCCTCCCCAAGGAGGGCGGGCCGCCCTGCCGGCAGCACCAACGCCCGCCGTGCCCAGCGGCCCGAGCCAGGGCCCCCCAGCCCTTGCCCACCCCCTCTCAGACAGGCAGGGACAAGCCGGGGAAGTGCTCCGAGGAAACACCAAGCAGCCCAAGGGAAAGGAGGAAAGGCCTCTGGGCCCTCCCAGCCCAGAACTCTCTGCCGGACTGAAGGAGCTGGCCGTGGGGCCGGGGCTCTGCCCACGGAGCACACGCTCTGCTGCCTCCAAGCTGGCCGCCCCGCCCAGCCGGACACACGGCAATGCCGCACATCCGCCTCACCGCTGGCACAGGGCGGGTGAGAAGAGCGTGTCTGGCAGGGGCTGCAGGAGGCTGGCAAGGCGACACCGCAGCCAGCGCTTCAGGGCGGAAAAACAGGGAACGAGTCAGACAAGGGAGCGGTCTAGGGCAGTGGTGGCGAACCAATGGCACGCATGCCACCGCGGGCACGCAGCACCCTGCACCTCGGCACGCGAGCCGAGGCGCCCCAGTATCACCCCAGCAGCCGAGCATTGAATAAAAGCACACACAGGGGCCATGCGCACGTTCGGAAAATAGTAGTGCGTCCAGGCAATGATGTCACAAACCACAACTCATTAGCCGTGAATCGTGAGCTTCCGCACGGCAGGTCAGTGCGCTGCCAATGATATAGGGAGATTTACTTGGACTGGCTGTTTTCAGGTTTTATTGTGGCGTTGGCACTTTGTGAAAAATAAGTAGGATTCGCATTGCAGTTTAGGCACTCGGTTTCTAAAAGGTTCTAAAAGGTTCTCCATCACATGGTTAGGCTTAGAAAAACAAGGTGTCCTGGCATGATTTTGGTGGCTGGAATGTGTTTAGAATGGGCAGAAGTGTCAAGCTGAGCAGAAAAAGCTACTCAAGGAAGGCTTTTCAAAATCGCCCTCTTTTCCATGGAACTCTACCCCTATATTAGGGTTAGGGGTGTGCACCAGGGTAGGGTTAGGGTTAGAAAAACGAGGTGTCCTGGCATGATTTTGAGGGTTGGAATGTGTTTAGAAGGGACAGAAATCCAGAAAAAGCTACTGAAGAAAGATTTATTCAAAATCAGTCTCTTTTTAATGGAAGTTAATCCCCTCTATTAGGGTTAGGGCAGTGCACCAGGGTAGGGTTAGGCCAGTGGTGGCAAACCTGTGGCATGTGTGCCACTGCAGGCATGCAGAGCCCTCTGTGTTGGCATGTGTGCCAAGTCACCCGAGCATCGCCCCAGCAGCCAAGCATCGGATAACAGTGCACACAGGGGCCGTGAGTCACGTGCCCCAACTCATTAGCCATGACTTGTCCGAGCTTTTGCATGTACAGTCTGTGTTGGCCAAGGATATATATGTATATTTGCTTGGACTGGCTGCAAGGTGTTTTTTCTAAACTAAAACCTCAGTTTTCAGGTTTTATTGTAGTGTTGGCACTTTGCGATACACAAGTGGGTTTTGGGTTGAACTTTGGGCACTCGGCCCCTGAAAGGTTCGCTATGACTGCTCTAGGGGCTTCTCTGGAATGGCACAGCACAGGAGGGCGTGCAAGAGGCAGCCGAGGGTGAGGATGGCAAGCCTCAGCAAGCAGCCCAGCACAGTCCCAGGCAGAGGGAGGCGGTGACCTGCATGCTGTTTCCAGGCCGCCAGCAAGAGGCTCGCAGAGCAGGTCCTGCAGGGCCCCGGCAGAGGCCTCTCGGCCAGCACAAAGGCATGCCCAGCCTGAACCAGGGTGTTTCTCCAGTGGCGCCTGGCCGCAAGCGAGCCACCCAGTGAAGACCCCAGAAGAGGGCTGGGTTGCCACAGAAACCCCACTGCTGTGAAGGAGCCAGAAGGAATGGTGGCAAAGCCAGGGCAGGCAGATGTTGGCCAGGCCTCTGCGACACAGCTCCCGCCGTCCTGCTCTGTCCCCGCCCCCCACAGCTCTTCCTGCAAACAGCAGGAGCCCTTTCCCGCATTACATGCAACTGCCAGAGCCCCTTCGGGCACGGCCGGGCTCAGTCTGGAGAGAGCAACGCAGGCTTTACTATCACTTTGTCCACTGCTCACCAAGCAAGAGGATGCCAGTGGAATGAAGGGCGGGTGCAGCCAGCTCCAGTTAGTGCTTTTGTTTCCTGCCCTCCCCACGCCCAGCATCCAGCAAGACAGGCCTCTGCCAGGACTGTGCTGCAGGCCCTGGGCCCTTCCCGCCTCGCCTGCAGCTCTGCTCCTGCGGAAAGCTCCGTGGCGAAAGGCCCCACCCTGGCCAAAGTCCTGCTCCCACTTTCTGTCGGTTTACACTGCCACACTGGGAAGGGCTCTGTTCATGTGGCCGAGGACTCCCGGAGCGGCTCCTTTACACAGCTCTCGCACCAGTGGCAGCCAGTCTGACCAAGGGCCAGGGCTGCAGTGAGCTTTGCTAGCTGTGAAGGCCATGGCTGATTACAAATATGGTAAGAAAAGCCAGCCCCCGCCCCCGCCCCCGCCCCCCAGGAAAAGTTGTGCCACAAAGGCCCAAGCGCACAAATCAATAAACATTAGGATCAATGAACTACTAAGCCCAACTAGGGTAACCATTTCCAGAGAGGGCTGGAGCCCCTGCCTGGAATGCGGCAACAGCAAGTACAACCTGACAGAGCCAACACCCATCCGGGCAGCCGAGAAGCAAACCAGAGGTTTAGCACAAGAGAGTGGAGCTTCATCTATTTTGACAGCACACTGACAATGAACAAGGAACCTGCCTCACCCCGCCACCCCCCCCCCCCCACAGACCTGCGTGCTCTTGCCGGTGCCTGTCTCCCCGGAGACCAAGACAATGCCAGCACCCCTCTCCAGATGCTCCATGAAGACGAACTTGGCACCCCAAACGGGAAGGCTGCGGCGCTGGTGCAGCAACTCATAGTAGCGAGAAGAGAAGGGCAGCCCATCATAAGGGTTCACCTCCAGATCCCCATCGCAGCCCAAAGACAAGCCTTCCGCAGGGTAGCCATGGTCGTCCTCCTCCTCCGACAGGGTGTTCAGCCCCGCTAACCGACGCAGGGGGCTGGGAGAGCCTTCTGTCGCTGCCATGAAAAGCAGGCCCTCGGCCTCCCGGGACACCTGCAAAGAAAAGAGGAGGGAGCACAACGGGCCAGTGATGGCCACAAGCGCTCACCCGGGAGGCGACGGCTGCTGGCAATGGGGGTGGCCGGACCGCGGCCCCTGCTGTGGCTCTTCCCCCGGGAGCCCCCAAACTCAGGCGAGAGACCCTCATCCCAGGGGCCACCCGAGGGGCTCCTTTTGCGGCAAGGGGAGATGGGGGAGGCCGCCTCCTGCCCTCCCTGCGGGCCTTCAGGCTGGACCGGGGAGCCTCTCCGCTGGGGGTCCGGCACAGAACGGGCAAGCGAGGACCGGGCTCCACGGCCGGAGGCGGGCGCAGCGAGGGCGCGGCCCAATCGGGGCGGTCCGCCTCGGCCGGCCGCCTCTCACGCAGGCGAGGGCCCGCGGTCGCTGCGCCCGCCCCCGGCCGCTTCCCTGCGGTCACGCACAGCGGGCCGGCCGGGCGGACACGTCAGCCGCGGGCGGGACGGGCCTTCCTACCGGCCGCCGGCGCGCCCGGCCACGGGTCTCCCTCGCAGGTGTCGCCGGGCCGGGCCGTGGGACCGGAGGAGAGGGCCCGGCCGGGGCGGCTTCCGGGGCTCCCCGCCCGCCCGAGCCGCCGGAGCGGAGCCTACCTGCACGGCAGCACCTGCGGGGCGGGGCCAGGACGGTCACGTGCGCCTCGGGGCGGGGCCTGGCGCCACTTCCGGCCAAGCGGCCCGTCCCGTGACGTCACGCGCCGGCGGCCCGAGCAGGGGGCGCTCGCCCGCCGGGCTCCGCTGCGGCCTGCGGTGGCTTCGGGGCCCTGCAGTCGCCCCCGCGCGCTGCGGCCGGTGGGGGGCCGGCCTTTCCGGGGCCCGCCGTGCCCGGGCCGTTCGCGCGAGCGGCGGCCCCGAGAGGCCGGCCAGAGCCCGCCGCCTCGCGGGTCCGCCAGCCCGTGTCCCTTGCAGGCGCCGCGCCCGCCGCCTGAGCCTCGCCGGCTGCCCGCGCATTCCCGAGTAGCGTCGGGACGTGTTGCCGCCGCCGCCGCTGCGCGCCGTCAGTCGGAATGGCCCCTGGCGGACCGCCGTGCGCGTCTCCCCGCTCTGACCCGTGGCGCTCGGGGCCGCGAGCCCGTCGGCGCCGCCCGGCCGGCCGGCAAGGAGCGCTCCGAGCGGCGCGGCCTGGGCGAGGCCTCCTGCAGCGCCGCGGCTCCCCCGCCAGCTTCCCTCACGGGCCGCTTTCCCACCGGTGCACCGTGGTGGCAAACACGACGGTGGGTGGCCTTGGCTCCGGCCCTTAAGCAGATCCCATGTGGCCGCTCTCCCGAGGCTCGGGCGTCTTGGAGTTCCTCGGCTGCAGTCGCCATCTCGGGTGATGAGCCTCGGGAAGTACAGGCTGTCACAGTTTCGATTTCTTTAGTGCTGACTGCAACATTCTGTAATTCATATGTAGCCACGACTGTTTCTTAATATTCAGGTGCAGTTCTGCCCCTGCACTTGCTCCTTTCACTTTAATCGGGGTCATGTCAATTTGCCACTCCTCTCTGCTGCTGATGTGGCATCATTGCATACCTTAGATTATGGGTGCGCTTTCTGTCAATTTTTACATCTTCCTCTGATTCTAATTCAGCTTTCCTTATTGTATGTTCTGCATACAGATGGAACAGGTAGAGAGAGAAAATATGTTGCTGCCCACCTGCTTGTCTATGGGTAACCATTCTTTTCCTCCACATTCTGCCCAAAGTGGGGCTTCTTGTCCGTGATGAAGTGCTGAGTTCCTTTCAGGACCATCCATGGCTTCCCCTGAGAGGCTGCAGTTGCCTGGCACCCACCTGCTCAGGACAGGGATGCCAGCGTCTCGCCTGTGGGCATTAACATCATTCAGGGCCAGGTCTGTCTCCTTTAAGGAAACCAGGGCCCCCCCTCCCCCCATTCTTCCTCTTGTGAATGTATGGCATGTTGGGCCTTCCTGGATTATACGATGGAGGAGGGCTGCCTTCATGTGTGCCTTGCATTTGCCTGTGCTCTAAGACTTGGCAGCCTGAGGATGGAAGCTCTCCCTCTGGGCTCCCGGACGGAACCGCACTGCCCCTCCCCGTGGATGTGTGGCATCAAAGCTCCGGCTCCACCTAAAGACCTATTTGTCCCTGTAATTGCTGCAGGACAGAAATGTATCATGTGTCTGCTCCCCCTTTCATGATGTATTTTGTTGTTGCCAAAAGGTGGCATTTTACTGCATTTTATTGCTTGTACCCTGCTTTGAGATTATTTTATACTGAAAACTGAGCAATGCGTATCAGAAATAAATAAACCAATTCACCCATTTTTAAAGGACTTTGTACGACCATAAGCTGTATCGAATGGATGGTTTTGTGTTTCCAAGCAGCTGTTCCAGGGAGCGCTGAGGGAGTCAGCACCGCGGCCACCCTCACTCTGTGCACACAATTCTGTTCGTTGTTGCAGCTGCCGAGTACAGAGTAGCTGGCGGACCGAAACTGGCATTCCGCAGAAGCACTCAGGTCACACGGCCCTCTCCCCGGATGCCCAGTTATCTGTTTAAAGAAAGGTGGGTGGACATCTTGTGGGTTGCGGAGAGGCGTCTCCCCTGCAGCATTGTCATCTTAAGCTAGAATGAGGAAGTTGAAGCAGACAGTTGCTTTCATTGAGCGTGGCCAGCGGGGGCTGTACAAGTCCCAGAAAGGCCTCCACAAGAAACGTAACAGGAATGAGACGTGGAACTGTTTTCCGTCTTTTTGAAATATAAAAATCCCTTGCAAGTTCCTTCCGAGTCTTGCCAGTGATGGCAGTCCTTCATGTGCTCTTCCGTTGAGGCAGGTCTTCCTCTTCACTGTCTGAACGGTGACCGCAGGGGGTACATGAAGCTACGGACTAATTGGAACATCTCCTATTCCTGGCCCATTTTTGAGCAAGATGCTGGTTCCTACCTTTGAAGCTCTCAAACAGGTCGGGACTCTGCTACCTTTGCAAATTCTTTCTCCTGAATTGTCCATGAAGATCCTCCCACAGCCAGAGATAAGCTTGGTGGAGATGCACAGGGGCCTCCTTGAGCACAGCATTCCTGCTGCACGATGCTCCTCGTTTCTTCTGGGCAGCGGATGGAACCCCCTTGTATCTGCCCACTGCTTTTAAGATCTGCTAGTTTTAACCTGTTGATGCTTGAATTCTTTTTACCTGCCCTATTTGCTCGTTTTATTGTATCATACTTTTGAATTTGTTTTTTAATCCTTTTATGTAAGATATTTCAGATGATAATATCTAAAGAAATGAAAAAGGCTTCGAGAGGCTAGGGAATGATGCCCACATCACTGCCAAGGAGAAGCCAGGGCTTGGGAAAGAGTAATGGCGCACGCAGGTAGCTGGAGAGCCGCTCCTTCAGCCAGGGGGCTCATGGGGAACCTGTCCGACACAGGCGCACTTGCTGCCGGCCGTATGGTGCGCTGCGCTTGATGTCTGGGGAAAGGAACGCGCAGGAGCTGCTGCTGTGCCAAGGCCTGCCTCGCTGCAGGTTGCTGTGAAGTGCCTGCGCAGAAGCCACGTAGCGGCCCAGAGACAGCATTGCCCGCATATGCCTGGGGAACACACAAGCTTTGCTCAGGACAGGGCTGCCCCAGTGGCAGAAGCAGGCGTGTGGCTAGCCCTGGCCCGGCGCTGACCCACCACCGCAGTCCCTTCCGGGCAGACAGCCGCGTCCCCGCTTGCTCGCCAACCAGACGCAGAGAGGTGCCCGGAGTAGCAGTTCTGGTGCCGAGGGATCTGCCTTGGCCATAAAGGCCAGTTCATTTGTTCTTTCATATTAGCTTATACTCAGAAATTACTCAAACCCGGTTGAAGGGACTGAAGCCTCTTGACCCCCCCTTCCAAATTTATTTGAACCAAAATATTACTGGGGGTAGGAGAGGGGGCAGGGTGGAATGCGGCACCCCGTCGCCCTTTCCCAGAGGGGGGTGATTATCCTGTCGTCTTTTCAGCAAGGGCTTCGTCAGGCCTGCTGGTACATTGGAGAACATCAGACTTTTACCAAAGTATTTGATTTACATTCTGCCTTTTTTCTTAGAATGAACTCAAAGCTGCTTACATATCGGCTCCTCCTGCTCTTAATCTTATCCCTGCTGCTGCAACAACAGCCCTGTGAGGTAGGTTGGGCTGAGAGACTGTGACTGGCGCAGTGCCCCCCAGCTGGCTGCCTGGCTGAGCACAGAGCCCGGGTCCTCTGCATCCCGGCCCCCCTTGCCCACTGCAGCACATTGGCTCAGCACACAGACCTGTGCTCCTGAGGACCCTGCCCCATGGCTGGCCTTTTCGGGGGAAGGGCCCCTCTGCCAGTGACAGGCCACTGCGGGCATCCTGTGAGGAGCCGGCTTGTGCTGGGGGTCAGGCTAGATGGCCCAGGAGGCCCCTTCCGCCTTGCTGTGTTTCTAAGCAGCCAGGTGCTCCCCAGTGCAAAGGCTGCAGAGAGGCAGGAAGGCGGGGAAGAGAGGCCGGTGTGGTTGTTGCTGTGCGGATAAGATTAAGGGTAGCAGGAGAATGAAGTGAGCCACTTCGGGTCCTTTAAAAAGGCAGGATGTGTCTAAGAAGATGCAGACAAACTGGAAAAAGCTTGGTGGGGGGCAATGAAGATGATCGCCGGAAGCCAAGCCCTCCTAGGAGAGATGGAAAGGGCTGGGCACATTTGCCCTTCGGAAGAGAAGACTGAGAGGGGATGGCAGTACTCGAGGGCCGGGATCTCTTCAGTCATCGGAGCGCAGGCACAGGCAGCCAGGTTCCGGCCAGACACCAGAAAAGCCTCCCGACTGCTGTGGCAGTGCGGCAAACACCACGATCACCGAGGCGGCCCTGGCTCTCCCACACTGGAGGCCCTCAAGAGGCAGCTGGCCAGTGGGGCTGGTTCAGCTTCAAGGCCTGCGCTGGACTCCGTGGCTTCACGGGCCCCTTCCGGTTCTCCCACTCTACACTTCCAGTCCTGGCTTGCTTTTTAAACAGGCTGACTGATGTGGCAGAAAGTAGATATGGCAGAAGGGAATGATATACATAATTGGAGTTTGCCAAATTTTCTGATTCCACAGCTAGAATTTCACGTCTGAAACTCAAATCCTGAAAGATTGGCCACAGTGGTAATCTTGATGCTTCAGGCTTGTTAGCATCTTCTTAGTATTGATATTTTTAAAAAATATAAAAATGGAGGCTTAATTGTCAAATACTGAAGTCATTCATCTTGTGTCAATCAATCCCAACTGTGCTTGCTGACGATCAACCAGGACCAACATGCAGACATTAAATGATGAAATAAACCTTTCCCGAATGGCCAGGAGCTTCCAATTTGCTGAGAACTCTGATTTCTCCAACTCCAACAGGGAAGGGCCCCCCGACAGCCTCTGCCCGTTTCCCCACAGCGGCACAGGCTGATTTGGGCAGCCAGTGGGTCATGGCTGTTCCCAGGGTCTGGAGAGCCTGAGGGACAGTGGGCAGTCGGCAAGGAGGTCCGAGGGTCGTCACCTCGGAAGCACACGGGTGCTGAGTAAAGACCCATGGGTCTGTGCGCGAGGGGCTCGCACAGGCACTCAGAAGAGCAGGATGACTCCTGCCTGGCCTGCTGGTGGCCCATCAAGACCTGCCAATGGGCCACTGGCAGTCCGCCTCGAGTGGGCTGTTTTTGGCCCTTCCGGCTGGAAGCCCCTGGTCACCCTGGCCAGCGCGGAGCCCCCTTTCGAGGCCTCAAGGCAGTGCAGGCGTCCTCTGCCGCCCCCCACCTCCCCGTCAGCAGAGCCCCCACAGCAGCCAGGCCAGACCTCCAGGGGCCCAGTGAACCAGCCCCTTAGTCCCACTCCGCCTCCACCTGCACTTTGCATAGGATCTCCTGTTGCCGCTGGGAGTGCAGGCCCAGGATGGACTGGCCCGTGAAAGGGGCCCAAGAATTGCCCCTGCTGCCCTCGAAGCACAGCAGGCAGGGGCGGCTTTGCGCTGGAGGGGGGTGCCGGCAGCGGGCACGCTCAGGGGCAGGCCAGCGTGGCCACCACAGTCCCGGGGCCCTCATCATCCACCTCCCCTGGCCCAGCACCTTGCTGCGCCTCGTCAGCCCTTCCGCCTCTGCCGGCGCAGGGCGAGAAGGCTGGCCTAGCCTACCCTGCCAGTCTGTCATCAACCCCACGGAGATCCCTCATGGCCTGCCGCTTGTCTCGGGCCGCCGGCGCAGAGCATGGCGAGAGCCTGGGCCACAGCCCACGCCCCCTTCCGACTCCCTGGCTGTGCTCCACAAGCGGCAGGGCCCGGGCGGGCCGCCATGGTCAGGCTGGCGGAGATGCACCCAGCTGTGGCCAACCCTTCTGAGGAGCAGAGGGCTGAGCAACCCCCCCATCGGTTGGAGGAGGCAGCCCGCCTGGGGGCCACTCAGGGGGTCTCTGGGACCAGCTGAGGTATATAGCGCCACCCCCTTTCCATTACTTCTTGATGGAAGCCCCCCCCTCGAAAGGTCATCCCTGCAGGCAAGGCGGGGTGGTTCTCTGAAGAAGGCAGGCCTGCAGGGGGAAGCAGCACCCCTCCTTGCAAGGGTTGCCAGGCTCTCGTCCCCCTCCCAGCGCGCGTAGCAAGCAGCTAGCCAGCCACGTCTCCCCACGCAGGGCCGCTCCAGGCAGACGGGCTGAGGCGGCAGGCCAGAATGGGATGGAGCCAGCCTGGGCCCCGCCTAGTGGAGGGAGGGAAAGGGGCCGCCCGCCACAGGAGCCACAGCTCCCCCCAGTCCCTCTGCTTGCCCACGTGGGGCTGGCTGGCTCTGGGGGAAGGAACACCAAGCGCCCCTCCCAAGAAGACCCTTTGGGGCGGCTCGTATTCCACGCACTGCAGGATGGGCGTCTCACCCTTCCGCTGTCAGAGGCTCGAGCCGCCGGACCCCGCCCCGCAATCGAGCCACAGCAAGGAGATGGGAAGTAGAGCAATGTTTATTTGGAGCGTGGCTCTTCCACCCAGCCTCCACTCGGATGCAGCCCCAGGCCCTGCGCCCCACACGGCCGCATGGGGCCGAGGCCAGCTGCGGGAAGACGCGGGCGCCGCCACCGGGCCCCGCAGAGGCGCTTCTCGGGCCGCAGGCACTCAGCACTCGACGGCACAGCTGTGGCGCAGCAAGCTCTGCAGACGGTCCACTGGCAGTTGGCCCCGAGTCCGCGCAGAGACGCCAGCGGGTCAGCGGCCTCCCTTGCCGTGTGCCGTTCCGTACTTCTCCGTGTATCTCCTGTGAAAACAAGAGGAGCGTCGCTGGGGACCCCGTGCACACGAGCTGCCACCGGGGGAGGAGCGGTGGCCGCCCCCCTCGCCGCCCCACACGCCTCCAAGCTCACCTCCGAGCATAGTCATAGAGGGCCCGCTTCCGCTCCTGCAGGGAGAGGTGTCTTGCCTCGGGCGATCTGGCGAACAGTTTCGCTGGCACCTGCACGGGCACAAGGGCAGCCTGCTTCAGCGCCACTTGCCCTGCAGCTGCCCATCCCGTATTCGTCCAGAATGCTCACAACCAGCCTTTGTCTCCACTCCGCGCTTTACGTACCAAGGATGGGGGAGAGGCAGGAGGGTGCTGCGCACTGGAAACCGACGGAACAGGCACAAAGGGCTCCGTCTCCACCTCATGGGGTACAAAGGGAACCCGCCCCTCTAGGATATTAGCAATGGTGGTGTCCACACATTTCGTCTGGGCTGAGAAAAAGACAGACACAAAACCCCAATTAGGGAAGCGACGCAGCAAAGGCTCTGCTCCTCAGGAAGAGGAGAGCAGGCCGCCTCCTCCGGATCGGCAGCCTGCAAGCCCTCTCATCCCGCTCGCCCAGGCCAGACTCTACGCAGCCCTTTCTGCTCCGGCCCCAGGTCAGTGTTGCCAGGTAGAAGTGGAGGGAGGGAGGAGGCAGGGATGCCCCCCCCCCGCTTTCCTTCAACAGAGCCTGCTTTGTTCAGCTGCTTATCAGTCAACAAAATTGGGCTGCAAGCAGCTCTTCCTCTGGACTGATTTTTCATTCTCCAGATAGCAGAATTTTATTTTAAGTTCTCGGATAACGAGAGTAGTTTACAGAACTTTGTGACATACAGTGCATCAACCCTATGGCATCCAAACGTTTTCAAGGCTGCATTGGTTATAAAAAGGAAAGATACTCCTCACATTGCTACTTGTCCCCAAAATAAGCAAAAGGCCCCTGCACCAGCCCCCACGCCGGCAGCAGGAGCGGCGCTGGGCCCAGTGGGATGCGCCCAGGAGAGCCCGCAGAACCAGCCCGCTGCTGCACAGAACCTGCCCACAGAGATGTGCTGAGCACTGCTGGGAAGGTGCTTCGCTTCCCAGCCGTTCTCACACACTTTCTCGCTTAATGCGCCCAGAGCCTCCCCGCTTGCTCTTCCCCCACACAAGGCCTCTCACCTAGGTCCTTGCAGATGACTGCCAAGGGCACATGGGGCAAGACCTCTCTGACACGCTGGGCCATGCCTGCTACATGCATGTCCTCGGCGGGGGCCACGCCGGAGGAGTCTGGAGAGCGGGCTGCAGGGGGTGGACTGTGAGCTGGGAGAGAAACGCAAGGGGTGAGAGGCGGGAGTGCTGGCTCCTGCAGCCAATGCTGCAGCACTGCCGCAGCCGGGCTCCTCGTGGCCACAGCCCCTCCAAGGCCAGTTGGAAAGCCGCGTCTTGCACACACCCTGTAGCCAGGCCTGGCTGGAGCACAGAGGCTTTTCCTTCCGGGCAGGGAAGAGGGGGCAACCCTACTCACCGGGGGGCGAGTGGGAGGCTGCGGGCCTGTGGCGCAGTCGCTTCAGGTGCTCCGCCTTGTCTGCAGCTGTGAGCCGAGTGGGCGCCACCCCCAGCTCTGAGGCCAGGAGCTGCAACGGGGAGAGAGCCGCAGAGGCTGGGGCTCAATGCATGATGCCTACAGCCCCGCGGAGAGACAGGCCGAGCCCCCCCCCCCAGCGCCACCAAGAGCCCCAACACGGGCATTCCGGCCTCCCACACCATGGCGGGAGGCACACAGGAGCCACCCACCACGAGACTTCTGTTCTCACCTCCTGCACCCGCAGCGCAAATTCCTCCCGGGTCTCGTCAGCTGCTCTGCAGACCGATGGGAGCCACCTGGGGACGGGGAGAGAGGAGGAGCCTCAGAGCATCCTTCTTAGGACAGGCCGCGCAAGAGCAGGAGGGCCTGAGTGCATGCGCCCTGCTGGGGGCCTCCCACAACCTTCTTCATGCATCCCCCAACACAAACAAAAAACCAGAGATGTTTAGTACCTTACTTGATAAATGGTAAAGGGGACAAAGAAAGTCCAGAGTAGCTCAGTAACCCAGGAAGCATCAGCCACACTCTTGGGGTGGGGTGGGGGTGGGGAGATGGAGATGGAGATGGAGATGGAGATGGAGATGGAGATTGAGAGAGAGAGAGAGAGAGAGAGCAATCAGTGAAAAAGCAAGCAGGGCTGCTAGACTGCAACTCGCTTTTCTGCCAGACCAGTTTTTCGTCTGCAAGCCTACCCTGAGTGCAGAAGAAAGGGAGCAAGTGCTCCTCCGACAAGCACAAATCGAGACTGGGGAAGGGCTTCCTAACTATTGGAGCAACATGGCAGTGGAGCCGGTTGTCATGGGCTCTCCCGCACTGGAGACATTCAGAAAGAAGCTGGACGGCCACCTGAGTGGGACGGTGTGCAAACTGGTGCCCACAAAGAGCAGAGGGTTGGACGCAATGCCCTTCTTGGCCCCTTCCGAGTCTGCTATTCTGTGACACCCCCCCCACCCGCCTCCGTTCCTCTAATACTCACCACAGTAACAAAAGGTCTCTGGACTTGCAGTGCTACTGGATGGACTGTATCCAAGATGGAGAAAGGCCAAGAGCTAAAGTGGGAAGAGCTCCGTCAGCAAGGCCAGGCTAGGCTGGAGCTTCTCGCAGGCCCAGCGAGACCAGCAGCCCCCTTCTTTCCATCCTGCGGATCCTGCCATGCCCCACCTGAAGCGCAGGAGGCCAACCCGGCCGTTGGTTGTGGTCTCCTCAGGGAACAGCAGCAGAGGCGGGTTGCCCTCCTGGGACGAGTAGCCCTTTAGCGACTGCAAGAGTTCGGCTCGGCTCTCTGTGCCACCAACCTCCAGGAACCCCCGGGACCAGCAGATGAAGCCAGAGGCACCATTCAGGAGAGGCTGTTGAAGCAGGGCCAGGTCAGAGAGGCCCTCCCTACCATGCAGCGCAGCGCAGCGCAGCACGTGCCTGCCCACCTGCAGGGATAAGCGCCTCTGCCCAGAGAGCTTCTGCTCCAGCACCGCAAAGGAAAATAAGGCAGACATGGACTGGGCTGATTCTCTCTTAAAGCTGTCCATATTGGTGGCTGTGATTTCATTGCTACAGCAGCAACAGAGGAGGAGGAGAAAGTACCTCCACACCACATGTCACCCTGCCCTGTCTACGATGCTTCCCCTTGCTCACCTTTTCTTCAAAGAATTCCCAGATGTTGCAGCTTCCCTTGTAAGGAAGTTGCTCCAGCCCCTTCTTCATTTAAACTAACCCTTTTTCCTGCCACACCCTTTACAGGACATCCTTTGCCTCTGAAGCAGCACCATAGGCTGGACATGCGCATGGTGGGCATGTCGTGAGCGGAACTGGCTGGTGCCAGAGGTCAGACTAGATGGCCCGGGAGGCCCCTTCTGACTTGCTGTTTCTATGTTTCTATCTTGACCACACAAAGATTTACATCAGAAGCACGGCATGGTCAAGCCAGGTCTGAGCCCTTCCAGGCTCACACACCCAGCCTTCTCCAGAGCTCAGCAGAGTGAGTGGTGTGAGGTGCAAGCTTAAACTGTCTCATCCAGCTTGCAACTCTTCTGGAGAAGCCACTGCTCTGGGCAGAGAACTAGAAGCTACTCAGGTACTGCGTCAACACAGGCAAAAGCACACATCCAGACTTTGGGGGGCAACCAACAGAAATAGTTCGAGATTACCTGTGAAAAAACCCAGCCTTGTATGTCCCCCCAAATCTAACCCTCTCTCAACTCCATCACTTGTGGTGCGTGCTCAGAAATAGGCGTTAACATGTGACACATTTTGCACTAGACATGGACAAGTCACTGAGTTCCATGATTAAGCCCTAGGAAGTTCGAAATTATGGAAGTTGCTGGAGCACAGATTACAATGCTAACTACACACCATTAAACATTCCCAAACATATAAGTTGTATCTTAGTTTCAAAAATTAACACACTGCCAAACTTCAAAATGAGGTATTGCTCTATTTCTGAAAATGCCTATATTCAAAGAAAACACAAACTGGTTGTTTTCTAGCTTGCTCGCTTTTGAAGAGTGCGCAGCCCACACCTGATGCAACAGGTAGAATGACAGGGTGAGGCAGAGGAAGCATCGTGAGGACACAGCACGAGCCACGTTGGATCAGGCCAAGGTCCATCTAGGCCAGCACTCCACAAGCACAGTGGCAAACCAGCTCCCCAGGATGCCCCAGCAGGATGGGTGCACAGCTTCCTCCTGCCCAAGCTCCTCAGCAACTGGTGCGTGCAGGCAGGCCCCCTCTGGTCCGGGAGGTAGCACATGATCAGCAAGGCTCCTCCACGAACCTGTCCAGTCTCTTTACAGACGTGCAGACTGGGTGCTGATCCTCAGTTTGTCGATAAGGTTGAGAATTTAATCGTTTGTCACTACTACCTGTCTTAATTCATCAGACTCCCTTCCGGAATACATACATTTGGGAAGAGGTACCTGCATTGCATCTTCTGCTGTGAAGACTAACAAAAACAATTCCAGCAGGTTCTGTGCAGTTCCCTCATCCCCCGTGAGTGCTCCTTTAACTCCATTATCTCCAATGGCCCAACCGCTTCCTCAACATCCAAGCAGGAAGCTACAGGTGTGTTGTGCACAAGAAACAATGTACACGTACCTGGTACATCTCTTGCCTAGGGCAGCCTGCTTTCTTTTAGCTCTGCTGCTTTATCTTCTGAGAAAAATGGACCCTTGTCTGCTACACCAGCCACTTCAGTGCCCACACACTTTTGAAATTGCAAATGTTCCTGAAGGTTTAAAAAGTGCATCACCCCACCCTTATTAGAATGGAAAGCATCTTATTTGTCAGACCATTCTGCTATCTCCTTTTAACTTGCAAAGTACTACGGTAAGAAAAGAAAATGCCTATGTAATATATCTTTTTCTGGGAAGTAGACACAATGTAAAAAGTCTAAGCAATTTGCATGGAAAGGGGACACAAGGACACGTGCTCTTTGCCCACTGTGCAAAGCCCGGGGCCAGTGCTCCGGCTCCCAGGCCAGAAAGGGCTGTGGGTGGGAAGCCAGGGCGCTTCCACCTAGCAGGAGGCGCCCCCCCCCCGCCCCGTGGCAGGGTCTCCCCTGCTCACCGCGTTGCAGGAGGTCAGCAGGTTGAGGACGTTGTGGTCGAAGCGGGTGACGTGGTTCGCGATGTAGACTTGGGCGCGGAGGCTGCGCGGCCCCGGCTGCTGCTGCTGCCGCCCCGCAGGGCGGCTCTGCCGCACGACCAGGCCCAGCAAGGAGCACATCACGCGCACGACGAACCTGCGGGAGAGCGGAGGCGGTGCGTTGGCGGCGGGCCTCGCCCGGGCTCCCTCTGCCCCCACAGCCCCCCTTACCTGCGGGGGGCGCTGTCCGGGAGGGCGCAGCTGACCAGGAAGACGTGCAGGCCAAGGAAGAGGCGCAGCAGCAGCAGGAACAGCCCCACCGGCGCGTACAGCAGCAGCGACAGCAGCAGCAGCCCGTCGCTCGGCAGCCTGTGCGGGCGGGGGGAGAGAAGCAAGCGGTGGCGGCGGCGGCGGCGGCGCAAGGAGGGGGCGCTCCCTCCGGCCGCCCGACCGGCCCGCCCCCCACGAGGCGGGCAGGCGCCTCCGGAGGCCGCGCGCCCGGCCGGGCTCCCCTCCTTCCCGCCTCCCGCGGGCCTCGGGCGGGCCCGCTGCCCCTCACCGTTGCGAGTCGAACAGGCGCTCGGGCCCGACGGAGGGCACGGGGGCGGCGGCGTGCTCCATGGCGGCGCTGGCGGCGGGGCGTCTCTCGCGCGGCCGCGGACCCTGCTGCGCGCCCGCCTGCGGCCTTCAGCGGCGCGCGACCGGGGCCCGAGCAACGGCGGCCGCGGCGGCCATCTCGGGTCTGGCCGCTCGGCGGGGCTAGCGGAGGAAGCGCGTCATGGCCGCGCCAGGCCGCCTGCCTTGTGCGCACGCGCAGGATCCTCCCCTTCCGGCCGCAAGGGCGCCTGGCGGGCTGCCTCTCTGGGCGTGCATCGTGCCGGAGCGCGGCACCGTCCGGCGGGCCTGGTCGCCGGTCCCCGCGGGGGGAAGGCAGACGACGATGGCGGCGGCTGGGGC